GAGGTGAAAGGAGACAGTTTTAGAGAAGAAAATTTTTCCGTCACTTCCTAGATTCGAACACGGGACCTTTGAATTTGAATGAGAGGCTAACACCTTAACCTCTAGGCCACGAGAGCACCCAGCCTATGTGTCCACCGTAGTGGACATAAATGCATACAAAGACTTTTTTACTTTTGATGAAAGGGATATAATAATATGTGAGTCAGCGTGGTGGAATCAGGCTCTCGTCATTTTTGGGCATGTAGAGTTACTGGTATAGTCTTAAAGCTTGTTCACTTGTCTTTATTTGGATTAATAAAATATCCATTTATCTTGAATACCAGTCGAGATATTTGCGAAAGAAGGGGGTGAGTGTCACTTGTTTTCAAATCAAGTTTCTTCAATTTGATTATTTTTACGAGAGCCTGATTCTACCACGCTGCCTCACATATAGTAAAGAGTAACTCCCCCGGTCTTCAACTATAAAAGCAAGGAAGTTTTCAACTTTCTTGACGAAATAAAATGATACGGGTGTGAGAGTCAGTGACTCCGTGGTGTGGCCTCAAAATCATGCCTGCTGTAGAGGACACCATGCAACAAAGGATTACTAAACATTTATGGACATCCCAGTTTCTAGTGCGAAGGCTGCTATTCGCAGCAGGTCCTCCAGCCCCGCCCCCACCTTTAGGCCAAAATGCCTTTCTAATTAAATTGTAAGCCCCTCAAGCATTGTGCAGGCTTGCAGCAAGGGGTTCCCCTGTTTGAACGCCGAGTTCAGATAATCAATGAAGAAAGGGCAGATAAGCTAGCAAGCTCCGCAAACATGGAGGGAGTGCTTTCCTTTGACCCGTCAGGTGTAATAATAGCCCTTGTCCGAGACCACCTGGCCAGCAGCCGTGAAGAGGAATCCTTTACGAAGGGGAATTTGATTGCAAAGGGAGTACAGCCTGGTGAAGGTAGGAGGAGCAGCCTGCGTGACCCCATCAGACGCTACAACAACCAGCTGATGATGGAGACAATCAGCCTGCCCACACTGAAATGGACCCTTATGAAGAGGGGCGAGGGAGCATGGAGCACCCCGATTTCCTAGGACCCCAGTTCTACATTCAAGTATTCAAGTTCAAGTACGCTGATTCCGCACTGACACTGCTCCAAGGAGATGTCCGACCTTGAACTCTGTGTAGTGGTCAACAGAACAATATGATCTCGATGTTTTCATTGGGCCGAGGTCGCCAACTTGTGCGAGGCTTTGTCTATTAGTGCTGGGCGGTTAGGTTCCCGGTTATTGAAAGCTAGGAATCGTAGGAATCGACTCCGAACCCAATTACTTTCTTTCAAATGATGTGATTTCTTCGGGTGGTTACCTGGTGGTTGGCTCCGAACATCTTCAGGGTTTATGATAACATTGCTTTCGGAACACGACGAAGTATCAACTTGAAAAAAAAAAATAAAAAAATTAGAAGAAGATTTTAATGATCAAAGTAACTGGTAACCGATGGTTTACGTAAAAAGGAGTCGCAATTTTTCTTACGTAGCATTAATCGTGTGAATCGGTTCCGGAATCGATCCTTCGCCCAGCTCTACGTCTATAAAGGACAGCTGACTTGTCAGATACTGCAAAATCGTCGCTTCTCGACTGTTCCCGACTTTTCCTCCGGCCCTGCGGCGTCTGGTGACTTACTGGTGACTTACTGGTGACGGGCACTGCGGTGTCTGGTGACTTACTGGTAACTTACTGGTGACGGGCACTGAGGTGTCTAGTGACTTACTGGTGACTTACTGGTGACGGGCACTGCGGCGTCTGGTGACTTACTGGTGACTTACTGGTGACGGGCACTGCGGCGTCTGGTAACTTACTGGTGACGGGCACTGCGGCGTCTGGTGACTTACTGGTGACTTACTGGTGACGGGCACTGCGGCGTCTGGTAACTTACTGGTGACTTACTGGTGACGGGCACTGCGGCGTCTGGTGACTTACTGGTGACTTACTGGTGACGGGCACTGCGGTGTCTGGTGACTTACTGGTAACTTACTGGTGACGGGCACTGAGGTGTCTAGTGACTTACTGGTGACTTACTGGTGACGGGCACTGCGGCGTCTGGTAACTTACTGGTGACGGGCACTGCGGCGTCTGGTAACTTACTGGTAACTTACTGGTGACTTACTGGTGACGGGCACTACGGCGTCTGGTAACTTACTGGTGACGGGCACTGCGGCGTCTGGTAACTTACTGGTGACGGGCACTGCGGC